GCATCTCCATACGAAATTACTGAACCATTTTCGGCAGATTTTGGATTAAGGCAATTAGCGGCGATGTCAATTGCATCGGTTTTGAAGAGATCCTTCATTCTAGATAACAAATCGGTATCCTCTTCATGTCTTAAAATGTCCAATACATTTTCGGTTTGTTTACGGAAGTAATCTCTGAAGACGGAATTATCAGTGCGTATACACTCCTTTAAATTCGAAGCAAGTGCTTGAAATTTTTCTGGTTGTTGATCATTTAAGGCAAACGAAAGTGCGTGTAACTTGCCCAACGCTTTCATGAACAAACGAACATGATCCGCTGTCACTTCTTCGGTAAAACGATCTATGATAGAGAAACCTCGAATATTTAGGTCTTCAAGTAACAGACATTCACTTGGGTCTTCATCGAGTGTTCGATAACAGATGGGATATTCGGTGAAGCCGTTTTCCTTGTTGGTTACACATTTGGACAGCTCAAATTGACGGAAATACGACAATACCTGTGCATAATCATCACTTTGTTAACACTCAACCAATGTTTTTATTTCAATCAATATACACACAAAATACGAACTCATACATTAGTATGGGCCACATATATTCACTCGGACAAATAGTGAATGTGTACTAACTCTATATAGCAAACGATTCTCACTACACTTCTGTGCATGAATGTATGAGTTCATATTATTATATATGTAGTACGCAATGGCCAATAGATTGTTTTGTATGCGCTTACCTCATTGTACATAAAAATTTCTTGCAAAAACCGTTCACGCAAATGAAATTGTGTTCGACGCGTTTCATTTTGAGGAGCAACCTTGACAATCATACTCGACTTTGTATTATTTTCAGATTCGTCTACTGCATTAAATGATACGCGATAAACGACACCCACAAAATTATTTTCGCCCTCTTTCGATGCCGCGGTTACAGTCACTCTATAATTTTGCGATTGTAGTTGGTTCTCAATAGTTTCGCGAATCTCTTTGCGAACTTGTTCACCGGGAATTTCAGACAAATCCATGATTTTCACTTACTTCGTCAGTAGTTTTTAAACTGAACCGTGCACTTGTACAGACAAGAGAAGACTATTTTTAAAAAAACATCTGTTGGAGGCAACAGAGCAGACACACGTGCACAGCTAATTAGATACTGAAAAACCGGTTGGAGTTTCGAATGCAAAAAGAAAGAAGAGTGAAAAATTGTGACATTACCGCCAATTACTGTGAAATAACATTTGTAAATAACAACGTACTAAATGTTTGTTTTGATTTTTGATTTCATAGAAATTCCGTTTTTTTTGGTAATGCATTGTAAGTGTGGATTGTTAGAACTGATGGAAGTCACAAGGGAATCACCAATGAACGTAATTGACGTTAATCATAAATTTGTTTTATTCGTTGTGTCATTTTTTGCGCATTAGTGTCACAGTGAAAAAAGGGTACCATGGATTTTTTCAAAGCTTTTTTTTGCTGAGTAACGAGTAGAATGTTATGCACTTTCAGCCGCCATTTTGGATAAATTTTGTC